AATAATATGATTCTGAAGTATTTTAATGATTATTCGAAGATCAGATATTAGCTATTGTGGACTATACAGTGGTTTAAGTCATTTATCGGAAACGCTCGCAGAGACTGTTGTAAAGGAAACTGCACCTGTGTTCACTCAGCGCTGTCAGTCTTTACTCTTCTACACCTGTGCACTCTATCCATCTATCTGTCCATCTCTCAGAAGAGGACAGCTTCCCTTTAGAGTCTGCTTCCTCTCAAGCGTTCTTCCTCATGGTGTCTCGGGGAGTTTTTCCTCGCCGCTGTCTCCTCTGACTTGTTCATCAGGATCTAAATGTACATCTGGGTTTCTGTAAAGCTGCACTGGTTGCTGTAACATGCTGACTCAGCTGAAGTCTCAGTGCTGGACAGCACTTCACTTTTCTCCTGATTTCTGCCATCCGTTCTTCCACACTGTTATCTATTATTTACTGTTTCCATTTTATGTTGTTTTACTCTGTCACTCTCTTTCTGTGTTCCTCTCTCTCTCTCTCTTTCTCTCTCTCTCTCTCTGTGTCCCTCTCTCTCACTCTCTCTCTGTCCCTCTCTCTCACTCTCTCTCTGTTCCTCTCTCTCTCTCTCTCTCTCTGTCTCTGTGTGTGTGTGTGTTCCTCTCTCTCTCTCTCTCTCTCTCTCTCTCTCTTTTCCTCTGTGTGTGTGTTTGTTTTCCTCTCTCTCTCTCTCTATCTGTGTTTGTGTGTCCCCCCCCCCCTCTCTCTCTCTCTCTCTCTCTCTCTCTCTACTTTAGTTAACAACTCAACAGTTGGCCTTTTTCTTTCTTTCTATTTTTTTTTAATTTATCTATCTTGTTCTAACTGACTCACTCTTTTTAATTTTTTTTATTATTTTACTCTCTCTCTCTCTCTCTCTCTCTCTCTCTCTCTCTCTCTCTGGTGCATGCTGGGAGTGGGTGTGGTTTTCGTGAGAGTTGCATGTGGGAGAGCGTTTGCTGATTTTCTTTTTTCTTTCGTATAATTTTCGTAGGTTAGGAATAGGTGTTTCAAGGCCGTGTTTCTGCCTGGCGTGTGTGTGTGTGTGTGTGTGTGTGTGTGTGTGTGAGACGGCACGGTGTCTACCCCTTTGGGGTGAGCCTCGCCTCTCTCCCTCCGGAATGGTTTCAGGTGCATTCTGGATATGAACGCGTTGTCCTTGCTGTAGGAGAGCAGGTGGGCCGCGATAACATCAAGTCTGCCTCTGGAATGGATAAGGCAGTCCCTGTTTTTCTGGAAACTGAAAATCTAATTAACAGATTAATTGAGAGGGGCATCTGGGTCAAAGAGACTTATGTGCTAGTTGCACACTGCTGTCTGCTCCGGCTTCCAAAGTCACAACCTCTAACATGGTTCTGTTTATCAGTAATGAAGCTGTTGTTAAGGAATGGATTAGATTTGTTATAATTGCCAGGGTGGTGAAAATGATCCTGCTGGGTTGCAAAAATGTAACATTAAAACATGTGTTTTCTTTCAGGAGACAAGGTTTTGAACGCTCTCACTAAAACACTGGATGTGGCTTTTCGCATCGCATGAGCGGAGAGTTCTTATATGGTGTATGCTAGTACAGGAAGATTACGCTGTTTTGAACGCGGGGATTTCGGGTACAGACACTTTACCTGTCCGTATAAAGATTGCGAGGCTCGCCGGAGAAGAAGCTAGCTTCGTCTCTGACTAGCTCTTGATAGCAAGGCTAGTCGGAGAAGAAAGTTCAGAACAGGAGGATACAGTAAAGGATTCTGATCCGGTGAAGGCACAGAATGATGCTGGCATGGAGGGAAGACCGAATGTTTCCGATGAGAAGCCGTGTTGCAGTGATCAGAGAAGCTAAGTGTTGGGACAGTGATCTATATACCGATGACCAGATTAATGCTTTCTTAGATGAAACTAAGGGAAAACGTGTTGAACACGTTAAGGGCTTTCTGGACTCGGATAAGTTCATTGTATCGGTTATGAAAGTAGTCTCGATGTGTTATCACGACAGAAAAGGTTTAGGCTGAAAAAATACATAACAGGAATTAGGCAAAGGACAAAACCTGCCAGGGCTAAACTCCGGGCTGTGAAAGGTAAACTAAAATACGTGCACATGGAGATCTCTTTCTGTATTGGCTGTTTTCTAACACAACTGTTTCTTGCTATGTTTCTACCCTTCTTTACTACGGAAATCCTAAGATTTGGGTCCTTAAATGTAACTAGGGTTAGAGAGAGTAATAAATGGGCATTATTAAAAGAATGCATAACTCTGAAGGAGTTTAGTGTTAGATTTTTACAGGAAACTCATAGTTATGTGTACAGTGAGGTAGATTGGGGTTTACGGTGGGAGAGGGAGTATTTTCAGTCACAGGACCAATCTAAGTGCAGGAGTAGCAATACATTTTTTTTCTCCAAGATTGAATATAAACATTGTGTCTGTTACTGAGGTAGAAAGGAGGCATTTGCTTATGGTCAAGTCAAGTCAAGTCAAGTCAAGTCAAGTCAAGTCAAGTCAAGTCAAGTGGAGTTTATTGTGATTTCAACCATATACAGTCAGTTAGTACATAGTGAAACGAAACAACGTTCCTCCAGGACCAAGGCTACATAAGACAAACACAGAACAACACAGAACTACAAGGGACAAGGGATAAAGTGCACAAGTGCAAACATGTGCAGACAGAACAAGACAGTACAATGACTACTGGGAGCCAATGGGCACAGCGAGTCCCAGTGCAGCGCCAACCAGCACACAGTTCTGTTAGAAAGTGAATCCGGTGACAATAGAGCAAAGAGTACTAGAGTTTGTATTTGTTAATATTTATGCTCCAAATATTGGCAATGAAAGAATCAGATTTTTGAAAAGTCTTAAAGATGTACTTCTTTCTTTTTCGCAAGATGTTTCCCTGGTCGTTGGTGGGGATTTTAACTGCACACTTGATTTTAATATTGATAGACATGGTGAAGAAGCTTGTCTTTTGTCTGCCAAAGTTTTAGAGGAAGTGACAGCACAGTTAGGGCTGACTGATGTGTGGGAGAGGAAAGAATAAAGGTGTTAGACAATATAGTTGGCTTAAAGTGGCAGCAGAGAGCGTTAGTGCTGCGTGTCTAGGCGGATTGTATATAAGTAGGACACTGTGTAGTAGAATGATAAGTGCATGTGCTACACTTTGCAGGTTCTCTGATCATCACCTCATTATGGCATGTGTAATTTTGTCACAAACAAAACCCTTGTTTTTTATTGGCATTTTGATACAAAGTTAATGCAAGGCTTGGAATGTTTTCGAGAATTTTACTTTTTTTTTGGGGTGCTGGGTAAACCAAAAGAAAGATTATGAAAGTCTTCTTCAGTGGTGGAGGTAGGAAACGCTCAGATAGAGCTGTTCTGCCAACAATTTACATCATATACTTCAACTTTTATGTAGGTCTGATGGAACTGTTACCTCAGACCGTGTGGAGATGAGAAGACTAGCTGTTGACTTTTACTCAGCCCTGTATGCTGAGGTGTTTTCAGGAGGACAATGCTCAGATGAACTTTTTAACAACTTGCGTGTGTTGGATAAGAAACATAAAAAGGTTCTGGACTCTGAACTGACTCTCCTCTGTGCGAGCACCAGGAGTTGATGGACTACCTATTGGATTTTATAAAGCTTTTTGAGGAGTTATAGGTAGAGATTTTTATCATGTTCTATAAGAAAGTTATAAAGTTAAAAGGTTTCCCAAAAGCCATCAACATGCTGCTCGCTCTTTAGACTTGGAGACCAGGTGCTGTTTTATGTTCCCATTATAAGATTCTTTCTAAGTGTTTGGCAAATAGACTTAAGGGAGTTCTTGATGTGTTAGTATGCAAAGATCAATTATACTGTATACCTAAGAGGTCTATTTATGACAATTTGTTCTTAATATGGGACATTTTAGATTTTACTGAAGCATATAATGTTGATGTGGGTCTCGTTTCTCTTGACCAGGAGAAAACTTTTGACCACGTAGACCATCAATATTTATTTGAGGCTCTTGAATGTTATGGGTTTGGTGAATATTTTGTGTCATGGGTCAACATTTTATACACGGATGCTACTTGTGTGGTTAGAGTTGGGGGATGGTTAAGTGTTCAATTCAAATGAAAAGAGGGATCAGACAAGGTTGTGAAATGTCTGGTCAATTATACAGTCTAGGAGTAGAACCCTTGCTTTGTTTATTAAGGACAAATCTAACAGGTATGTTTATTAGTGGGAGTATGAGAGCCGAAGCCATTAAGCTCTTGGCTTATGCAGATGATATCACTGTTATAATTCAGAAATAACACAATATTCAAGATTTGAGAAATGCTCTGAGAGTGTACGAGAGGGCCTCATCAGCTAAACTCCAGAAAATATTCAGTGGGGAAAGCCGGGATTAGGAGTGTACCTTGGTAAAGGTGAATATAAAATGAAAAACTGGGAAGGCTTGATTGAGAATGTTCATGCTAAGTTGTCTAAATGGAAATGGTTGCTACCCCAGCTGTTGTATAGGGGAAGAGTCCTGATAGCAAATAAACTTATTTGCTAAATAAACTTACTGCTTCAATGCTTTGGCATAAATCTCTGGTTCTGGATCCACCAAGAAAATAGAGGATAAGGTATAAAAGATAGAGGATATTCAAAGGACTATTGTTGACTTTTTTGGTTAGGACAGCACTGGCTAAGAGCTGCTGTCCTTTACCTTCCAGTTCAAGAAGAAGGACAAGGATTAATCTATATTTAGGGTATATCTAGGGTGGCTGTTTTTGTTTACAGTGCCTTTTATACTATCAATATCACCAGTGGATGGACATGGCATGTGCCTGGCTTTGCAAGGCTGGAAGAATGGGTCTAGATATACATCTATTTGCTCTGTGTCTAGAGAGAGTGAATTTGGAAAGACTTATAACTTTTTATCAAAGTGTTCTGCAAGAATGTCAGACCTTGTCCTTTTCGAGGGAATGGGAAAGACCAAACGGATGGTTGTTTGATGATGCTATTTTATTGATAAATGGTAATAAAGGGCAGTCGTGGCTTAATGGTTAGAGAGTTGGACTTGCAGCTTGAAGGTGAACCTGAAGGTCGTGGGTTCGAGTCTCGGGCCGGCAGGGATTGTAGGTGGGGGGAGTGAATGACCAGTGCTCTCTTCCACCCTCAATACCACTTCACCATGACTGAGGTGAGACCCTTGAGCAAGGCACCGAAGCAAAAAAGGCTGCCCACTGCTGTGTGTGTGTGTGTGTGTGTGTGTGCGCGCGCGCTCTTGGGGGGGGGGTAGGGGACGAGTAGTGGTCACCATACTTGGCCACACTTCACTTAATATGGTATTTTTTTTTAAACTTATACACTTTTGTATGTTGAGATTTCTATTTGTATTTTGGTTTATAAATATATTAGATTAGATTAGATTCAACTTTATTATCATTGTTCAAAGTACAAATACAAAGCCAATGAAATGCAGTTAGCATCTAACCAGAAGTGAATAAGTGGCATATTTACAATAAACTACAAATAAGGATATATAGCTATGAGGGTGATATGTACAGGGGAATGGATGACTTATGTACAGGAGGAGCAGTGGGTATTATGAATAGGGATAAATGTGATCTATATATGTATGTACAATCAGTGTACAGTGGTGAAGCCATGTTAAGAATATAACAGGAATATGAACAGGATATACAAATGAATATATACATACATGCATTTTATATTATATTATATATATATATATATACACACACACACACATGCACACACATATGCTTGTATGTAAGTACAGTAGTGCAAAAATTATAATGGATTATAATTTATGTAGTGCAGAGAAGCAAGGAGAATAAACAGGGAAGTAAGTAACTGAAAACAGGTATTGCAGTGTACAGTGTGATCAGCTGTTCAGTGTGGAAACAGCCACTGGGAAGAAGCTATTTCTCAGTCTGTGTGTGCGGGCGCTAAGGCACCGGTAGCGCCTTCCAGATGGGAGGAGGGTAAATAGTCCGTGATTCGGATGAGAGGTGTCATTGATAATGCCGTTCGCCCTCTGCAGGCAGCGTTTATTGTAAATGCTCTCGATGGTGGGTAGCTGAGTGCCAGTGATGCGTTGGGCGGTTTTCGCCACCCGCTGAAGGGCTTTTCGGTCTGTTGCAGTGCAGTTGCCATAGATTATATAGGTCTCTGTTTGTGTTGAATTAATAAAAGAGATCTTAAAGTCAAAAGTCTCTCTCTCTCTCCCTCTCTCTCTCTCTGGCCCTTCACCTCTCAGTACGTTCATTAAGTTTCCAGCTGAAATTCTGAAATCATCTCAGAAATGCCCCACCCCTAGTTACAGTTACTAAGCCCTGATTGGCTAAGCACTGTTCAGGTTGGTCTCAGCATTATAAACATGACTATATATCAGCTTTAAGGTTTAACTGGCAGAAGAGAGAGTGAGACAGATGCTGTTCGGCTGTTAGAGGAAGACTGATGTCCTGCAGGCTCACTGTGGAAATGACTCCTGCAGCCGGAGACGAATTTGTTTCCCATAAAAACGCTGTTATTAATGATCACCATCTGTCGCATCACTGACAGGATAATCGCACAATCGTACCCTAATGCTGTGTTACACATGCTGATATTCACCAGATAGAGAGACACAGACTGAGAGAGAGAGAGAGAGAGAGAGACTGATAGAGAGACGGAGAGAGACGGAGAGAGACGGAGAGAGGAAGGGAGAAAGACAGGGAGAGACGGACAGAGAGACAGACTGAGAGACAGACAGAGAGATACAGACTGAGAGAGGGGCAGACAGACAGAGAGAGAGAGAGAGAGAGAGAGAGACTGAGAGAGAGACAGAGAGAGATGGAGAGAGGAAGGGAGAAAGACAGAGAGAGAGACAGAGATAGAGAGAGACAGACAGAGAGAGAGAGAGACAGCCAGAGAGAGAGAGAGACAGACGGACTGAGAGACAGCCAGAGAGAGACAGACTGAGAGAGAGACGGACTAAGAGAGAGAGACAGAGAGGGCCTTCAGCAGAACCTGGACCTGCTGGAGCAGTACCAGACCTGGGACCTGGCAGTAAAACCTCAAAAAGACCAAAATCATGACCTTTCAGAAAAGATCCAGATCCCAGGGGACACATGAGGAACTAAGCACATAACTCACTCATCGCACCGTAACTGTCTAGGACTAAAAATCAGTTCCACAGGCACTGCAGTGGATGAGCTGAGAGATGAAGCCCGCAGGGCAATTTTATGCCATCAGAAGACAATGTCCCTTAGAGATTCCTGTTAGAATTTGGCTGAAAATATTAGAATCAGTGATTGAGCTGATTGCCCTCTATGGCAGTGAGGTGTGGGGGCCACTAACAAATCAAGAATTTGCCAAATGGGAAAAACATTCAACTGAAACCCTGCATGCAGAATTCTGTAAGAAATATCCTACAAGTACATCAGCACACAACAATCAATGCATGCAGGGCAGAATTATAAAAATTATAAAATGATAAAAATACAGAACAGTGCAATCAAATTCTGGAAACACCTAAAACTCAGTGACCCCCAATCACACCATTACAAAGCCCTGCAACACCAAGAGTCCATCAGGGAAAAAGAGCCACTCTCTCAGCTTCAGCCCTGAAGGATCACCGACACCTACTAACCCCCACCACACTGACGCTTTAGACCAGAACAACAACACATAAATCAGATCAGACCAAACTGCAATACAAATGAAACAACACTACATCACCTATTGGGAAACGCAAACACAACAACAGAGTCAAATGCAATGCCGTTTGGCTCTAAAAAGACAGAACACCATGGCAGAATATCTGTACGCAGTGGCAGATAAAGCACTGAGAAGCACCCTGACAACGTACAGACTCGGCGGACACGAGCGAGCACTAGAAACAGGCAGGCGCAGGGAAACATGGCTCCCACAGGAAGAAAGGTTGTGCCTACACTGCACCCAAAACACAACTGAGACAGAGCTGCACTTCCTAACAGAGCGCACAAAATACCCCGAGAGAAATTCTGCCCCCAAATTAAACACACACACCGAACATCCAACGATCTCTCAGACAGTGAAAAACTCCCCTCGGAGATAAAGACTGCTGTATATCAGCACAACACGTCTCTCCTGCCACAATATTAGGGACGGCGAGTGATCTGCCTCGCCCTCGTCTCTCTTCTAACTGTTCTGATCGCTCTTCTTTATTATTATCGTTTTCTTACCTTTATTAGTAAATTCACTTTTATTCTGTAATTTTACTCATTTTATCCTTCTCTTTTTCAATTATTCTGTATATAGTGCCTTTATATTGTCCTTAATTTATGTACATTGCACTATTTTTTTGTTTTGTTTTGTTTTTATTTTAATATATTAGTATTTTATTTTGTCTTTTTAGTTTATTTTGCCTGTTTTTACACTTTGTACCTGCTTTGACAACACAAACGTATAATTATTTGTCATGCAAATAAAGCACACCGAAAACTGAAAACTGAAACTGAGAGACTGAGAGAGAGAGACACAATGAGAGAGGAAGAGAGATTGACTGAAAGAGAGATAGACAGGCAATCACTTTTCCTTTTTTCTCACAATTACTTTCCAAATTTCCTCTCTGAAATCAAAAAAGGATCTATCTATCTATCTATCTATCTATCTATCTATCTATCTATCTATCTATCTATCTATCTATCTATCTATCTATCTGTCTATCTGTCTATTAACCATAAAACATGCATTATTTACAGGTAAGGACATTAAGGTTAAGGAGATGTTATGCGCTAAGGTAGCGGGTAATGTTTTATACTGAGTTACTCTAGTTGAACATCTATTAGAAAAACGGCATTTCATTTTGACAAGTATAAATGGAACATACCATTGAGGCTGGTGGGGGTGGGGGGGAACAGGAGCCAAGAAAAGTTATAATTCTAAGGATACACTAGGGAGTATCTCTGTTACACTTCACTTGTGTATCAGTCTTTCTAACCCAACAATACGGCGCGCATCTCAATTTGTGACATTTAAAGCAGCCAACAATTCGACGTGCTCTGACTCAGAGCTGTTTGGATGCGAGGTGGCCTGCTAACTCTCCCACGTCAGCTCTAATATCATCAGGGAGTTGTAACAAAAACCTAATTTTCTCTGCCTGCTTATTTTCTCTTATCAATGTGTTAGTGATGGCTGGCTAATTCCAGTGTTATGGCCAAACACAGCGGCGTGCCAAGCCAGCTGCTGCTCATTTACCTCTGTCCTGTCTCTCACGTTCATCATGTCTGATCAGCCACATCCTCTCAGCAGCAGCTGTTCCAGATCTCTCTCTCTCTCTCTCTCTCTCTCTCTCTCTCTCTCTCTTTCTCTCTGTCTCTCTCTCACACACACACACACACACACACACACACACACACACACACACTGCCAGGACACTAATGCTTCTGTTACGCAGTTTATCTCAGGCATTAGTGCTCAAACATGGCTGGAAGAGCAGAGACTGGTTTTCTCCAATTTATTTCTTAGCTTTGCTGCTACTTAGGCTTTTGCTGTATTAGTCAACCAGTGATGCTAACTTTATTTCTGGAAGAAATAAAGATGTTGCTTCACCAGTACACTTTGAACAGCTTACAGCTTTCTATGAATTTAACTGAATTAGCATGAGCACTAATTTGTCTTTATATGATGGTTTGATGTCCTGGATTGTTAGATATAGTGTTTATTGTTCCATATGATAGTGTTTTATGTTTTCCTGCACCAGTATATGGTATGTTATACTGGGATTTCAGTTTATGTTTGTTATTCTTAGTGTTCACCATTCTTCTGAAGCCTGGTCAGCTGGAGCACATGGGATAACTCCTGAGAGAGATTGATCTGAGAGTGGATAGCAATGAAGGTGAAGCTGGCTGGATCTTGGCCCTGAGTGATACTCCTACCCACCTCTTTCTGAGATGGCTAGCCAGCCATGATCCCGGCTGGCCACAAAAGAGGATAGCCAGCAAAAGGAAGCATGGCACAACGTGATGGCACTAGATGGCAACTTGGGCTGGGGGAACTAAGCTGGCAATGGCCGGCAAACGAGGTCAGTGGTAAGCACATGGAGCTGGCTCAGAAGATCATGGCTAGCCACACCCAGCACTCT